CTCCTCCTCCTCCTCCTCCTCCTCCTCCTCCTCCTCCTCCCTCTCCTCCTCTTCTCTCCTCCCTCTCCTCCTCTTCCCCCTCCTCCTCCTCCTCCTCCTCCTCCTCCTCCTCCTCCTCCTCCTCCTCCTCCTCCTCCTCCTCCTATTGCTGCCTGGGCCACCATGGTTTCCCCCCCGGCGGCGCGAGCCGAGGGCCCTCCTTGGGCCTCAGCGGGACCCTTCCCGGCTCCCCAGGGACCAGTCTCCTGTCCTAAGTCTCCTATAGTTACTATTGTTGGGGTCCGGATGTGTTTCCTATGATTCTTGATGATGTCTGAGTTTTTAATGTTTCATTTTCCGTCCAAGATCCGCCTGTTTGAGGACATGCCCGACCTAATATGTGGCCCTCTTGTCGGCTTCTGTTGGGCCCCTGGGCCCTAGGCCTCCTAGATGAGGTCGGAGTGGATGGGGTCGGAGGATCGCGCCGCATCGCCGATGCATCGCCGGTGCGGATTTGCTTCGCGCCGACGTCGCCGATGCATCGCCCACGTCGACGACGCATCGCCAGTGCATCACCCACGCATCGGTGATGCATCGGCGATGTGTCGGCGATGCGGCGAGATCATTCGACCCCAACTACTCCGACCCTATCTGGGAAGCCTGTATCTGCGCCCCTCAGACCGACGCAAGATCGGCGCAAATCAGTGCTGCATTCGTGTCAGACCTGTGCCCCGAGACCCCCTCGCGTTGTGAGAATATCACGACGGGAAGTTTTTCCTTTCTTTCGGTTTCCGGGGACCCCCACCGGGCCTCGGGGCCGTTCAAAAATTATTCAGGACGAGAAGCCGGTCCCGGGGAAGGGGGTCCAAACCTCTGGGGGCCGACGTTGTGAAAATATCACGACGTCGTGGGTCTGGGTCGGTTTTGCGTCGGCCTGGGGGTGCACTTTGGGCCCTCCTTTGGGCTCCGCGGGGCCCTTCCCGGCTCCTCGGGGGGGGCCTAGTCAGCGCGTCGGGGGCCTTGCTGCTGATGTTCCATGCATCGCCCCCTCTTGGACGCCCACGCAGGAGGAAGACGCATGCCAGATCTGGGCACATCAAATAAGAGACCCGCCTGCCTGCAGGTGCTCCCGGGAAGTTTCTCGTCCATCTCCCGATGGCCCCGGGTACCCACAACAGCTCTCGGGCACCCTCGGACCCTCAGAGCTCCACGAAGAGTGTGCCTCCAACGTGTGAGGCTTTCCAGAGAGAGCCTCGCCCACGAGGGCGGAACGAGACGGCACCTCTTCCTCGGCGGAAGGGCTGGCGGGAGGCGGCGGACGTACCACGTGGGCGCTTCCACGGGCGGAGGGCCGGCGGAAGGCAGTCGGCAGAAGTAACAGATGTGCCCCCAGGAGGTGCCAGGTGCTTTGGTGCCGGGTTTCCGAGATCGGCCGAATCTCACAGCAGGACGTCTTGTCGTATGCGCGTGCTGCATATTAGGAGGCCGCCGCGGGTGGAGGCCGAGAGCGAGAACAGGCAGGAGGAGCTGGCGCTGAAGCAGATGAAGTACAAGAAGGACTCGGCCCCCCGGCAGGCGGGGCCGTCGGCGGTTGTATGCTATTGGAGGAGGGTGGAGGGAGAGGGAGGGAGAGCGGGAGAGAGGGATGATGATGATGATGATGATGATGATGATGATGATGATGATGATGATGATGAGGAGGAGGAGGAGGAGGAGGAGGAGGAGGAGGAGGAGGAGGAGGAGGAGGAGGACTAGGACGAGGACGGGGACGAGGACGCGGTGGATGAGGAGGAGGAGGAGGAGGAGGAGCAGGATGGAGGCGCAGAATGAGGAGGAGGATCAGGAGTCTTTTCTCTCTCAGTCGTAAACTCAGACGTCCACTCATATCCCTGCTCAGACACACTCATGTTAAATTGCACTCACACTAATTGTCAGACCACTCACGCGCAGACTCATCCGCCCTGAGACTCGCTGGCACTCAGACTCGCCCACACTCAGAACTTCTTACACGCTGACCTATCCACACTCACACTCGGTCACGTCCAGATTTGCTCAATTTCATTGCTCCGCCCAGATTGTGGGACGTCTCGGGCACTTTGCCCGGCTCGTCCACTTTGCCCGTCTCGTCCTCCCCAGGACTTCTGTTCGTCTGGGGGTCCGCTGCTGACTGCGATATGGTACAGCACAGGCGTGGCGTGTGGGCGAGGGCGGGGTATCGCGGGCACTGCCGCGGGCCGTCCGGAGGGCGCGACCCGGCAGAAGCTCCGCGCTGCAGAGTTGGTCTCCTCGATGTTTGCTTCGGCGTCCGGGTACCGCCCCTCGGCCCCGGGGGCTGTCGAAGACACCACCCTGGACGAGCAGCTCGTGGCCGGGGGGTCCCAGCCATGCTCCCGCCGTGAGACAACAGTCACGACGGGCGATTCTCTGCCCGTCTTCGGCTTCCGGGGGCCCTTTTATGCCGGGC